CTTATTGTATATGATAGATTTATCGTTATCAACGCTGTAATTATATTTGTAATTAAGTAAATTGTTGATTTTTCTATTCAATTTGAGATCAAGAGTGGTCAAATCTATTGTTAATTTAAAAAAACATAATTTTCAAAAGCAGTCATTGTGTTGTTATCAACATAAGTTTCATTAAGTATATTTTTTTTTTTTCTTAATTGCATTAGTTAAATAACGTTAATAGGCGTTTGCATAAGCGATTTCGTTATTTAGAATAACTTTTATGGTAATGAGCTCGATTTTGAAATTTTTGGTTATTGCAGATTTGCTTTTGAATTGTTAATTATTTATGAATTTTTATCCGTGCTCAATATGTTTTGATAATATGTCATAGTTTCTACATTTAATGAGAAACTTACACTGTGATCTGATTTATTTAAGTTCACGATAAGCAGTATAAAATTTAAAAAACAATATTTTAACATGACCTTTTGAAAAATTTTCTATTGAGCATAGATCGAGGAGACCGATGTGTCTTTCCTTGTTTGGAAAGTACGGATCAGGCGAGCCGTGATAGATCCCAATTCACTCACGTTTTTCAACTTGTACAATCTATGCATAATGACTCAACAAATGTATTGTTGCTGTCTACAAACGTAACTTTTTCAACCAGCGTCCAAATTTTTATTATTTTAAGATTCAAGCAATAGCTGATGATAAATGTTAAAAATAACGACTCGAGTGGTAATGCTGTCAAGTATTTATTGAAATAATAACTTTAAACATTTCAGCCCGTACAGCTATAAGGATAAAAAGGATATTATCAGGCACGAATTTTCTATAAACACAAAAAAAAAGCGTAAACTGCAATGTAATGAATGCTTTAAAAACAAAGAATTATACTTAAAATTTGTGCTGTAAGTAACACTTACAATCGTCACACAGGCAACTATGTGTAGCACGCAAAATAGTAAGGCAGCGAAAATAACACTGATACTTCGCAAGTCCTTATAGAGGCGCCACTCATGCATGTATGCTATGTCTATGTAAGCGTCGGTTAACATTTGAGTAAAAGTAATAAGAACATTATAACTCACCTTGAAAATTAAAACTTATAACATAAGATCACACAGTGCCATTCCAAACATCTCAAACAATTTAATGACTTAAAAATGACAAACAAGATCGCAGTAACTAATGAATTTCTCCAACAAAATAGAAATTTATTAGTGACAAAAGCAGACAAAGGCAATACCATAGTCATCATTAACAAATCATAATACATTGAGAGTGATAAAGAACAACTAAATAACGATAAATATTAAATATAAATTTAAAAAAATCAGATGAAAGAACTGATTTAATGTATTGAAACATTTTTAAAGCGTTGGCATGATTTAGGAATTTTCGACGATTGATAATTCAATTTAAAATATTTGGACGTGGGCAAAACGAACCTAGCACGATGGTATGGCTTGGTTAAGATACACAAGGAAGGATACCCGTTGCACATTAGTTTCCGCTGTAAATCCTCTAATATGTGATTAATCAAAATTTTTAACAAAATTTCTAAAACCAATTCATTTGTTAAAAATAGTTTTCATTTAAAAGAAAAGATCGATTCGTTTATTATACCACCCGGTTTCACCTTAATTAGCTTAGATGTAGATAGTTTGTTTACCAATACGAGTAAAGAGTTAATTTTTAGTCCATAGAAAGAAACTGGAAATATTTACGTAATAAAATTACTTATATGTACGATATATTGACGATAAACTAATGTGGGTGCTTATTATAACTATTCCTTGTGCCAACTATAAATTCTGCCCAAGATAACAATTTCATGACAACTAACTGGTTCAGAAAATCTACCCATTCTGGGAGGTATTTGAATTTGTAACGAGGCAGAAATGGCCTCCACGTCCCAAAATGCTCTCGCTGATGCAACATATATACAAGGAGCATTAATTTTAAACTTCTTCGAATTCGTTTGTTTTTTGGGAGCTGTATATACGCTGAGAGGATAAGAAGAGGATGGCAACAAACAAACAGCTGAGCTGCAGAGATACAGCAGTGCTAGCGGAAAAGGACAAGAAAACACGAGCGTGACTACCAGGACACACACCCGAGTAGAAAAAGTCTTCGGCTAACTGAATGGTACCCTACGGGCCGTATGCTGTAAGCAGACAGCGGTCCGTATACGTCATGAGCACAGGCACGCCTTCGGGTCACCTTCGGTATCCGAAGGTTCAGTTGCCAAAGACTGCCCGAGGGCGGCCCGAATGCTCCAACCGTTCGACAGCTGAAGACTGCCCGTAGACGGCCCGAATACTTATGATACATACATGTATATTTATAGTATTGCAATCGACATAGATACATACTGATTTGTTTTGGTTATGAATGTGTTTATTTACCTATAATTGGTGTAATAAACTTATTTCAATTAAAATGGAAGATGACAGAAAAAAACGTTACTCGTGACGTAAAAATTTAAATGCTAGACTTGCAAGAAAAAGAAAACATGGTGAAACCATTGTGTATATCGATAAAGACAAAATTGATGTAGGAGGGGTTGTGAAACCATTGTGTATATCGATAAAGACAAAATTGATGTAGGAGGGGTTGAAAATCGAGGTAAAATTAATGTGGATGAAAGCCTTGATGACAACGGCAATTTAGAAAGAGTTATTTAGGATGAAGTGGAATCTTTAACAAAATCTGAAAGCAAAGAAACAGTGCCAAGAACAAAGTGATGCTCCCAAAGATAACGATGGTTGTGAGGATAATAAAGATTCGTTTTTAGCTAATGTGCTCAAAAATTACATGAAAAAGTTTCATCCTTCTTACACACACATTGATTATTTACTGAAAGAGTTAAGGCAAATCGATCGATGCATGCAGTTTTATCTTACTCATTACATATCGATATTATATTATGTATGTACATGTACATATATATACCAGAAGTATTCGGGCCGTCTATAATATGGGCAGTCTTCGGCTGCTGGGATTCCGCACTCGGCGGGCGAGTCGGGTAGACGTGTGAGCTGGCTCTGCGGAGCAATGCTCCGTCTCCCCCACCCCTACTGGGTGGCTACAGACCGGAATTCATTTGTTAATTTTGGCAAGAGTGAAAATCGATGGTTTGAGACATTTGTTTTGTGTAAAAGTGATTCTTCGACTTATCATGTGAAACGACAGTTCAAGCTTACACCAAATGGCTACGTATGACAAGGACCTTTTATAGTCTGCAGCTGAAAGATATCAGTTTTGAATGGAAGGTTTAGATCCGATACCGAGAAAAGCTTTTATCGAATAAGCATACCAGTGGGCCTCCAGTGACTTTGGGGGTGACTGTCTGTTGTTTTGTTTTGGGCTCGACATCGATGCCCTCTTGTGTTTATACTCTGCATGCCGTTGTGATTGTGGCCCGAGGAACACCGCAAGGTTTAACTATTGAGGTGGGAGCACGAGGGGGAGTTGACTGTTTTGATCTGGAGGATTCAACGTATGTCGTTCCTAGGTTGCCGGTTCGGTTGATGGATGCCTGGGAAGAATATGGATGTACGTCGTGATGAGGATACGGGAATTCAAAGATCTAAATGACCCCGCGCCTTCTGCGCTTAGTTATAACTACACTTGCCAGACTGCGCTACACTGCGGCGCAAATTTTGACCAGCGTTGGCAGCAGTATACAGTACCAGGCTTGACGATCGTACCGTTATGTAACGATCTTACCAAACTGTCTGAATAAGAGAGATAATTATTGAGTTATTGGAGAATATAACACGGAGCCTGCAAGATTGGAAAGTGGCTAAACTCAGCTGTATAGCCAGGATAGCCATCAACTTGACAAAAAAAAAAAAAAGGTCTTCAGCTGCCGAACGGTTGGAGCATTCGGGCCGCCTTCGGGTAGTCTTCGGCAACTGACCCTTTGGATGCCAAAGGTGGCCCAAAGGCGGGCCTGTGCTCATGCCGTATACTGGCCGCTGTCTGCTCGGAGCATAGGTACCATTTGGTTAGCCGAAGACTTTTTCTACTCGGGCAATTACATGAAATAAAATTTTCTTGGACTGTCAATTAATAACGACCAGTGGATTCGGATTCTACATCTAAAATTATAAATGCATACAGTGAAGCTTTGTAAGAAATAAAACTTTCAACAACAGTGAAATCAAATGTGTAATAAGTGAACAAAATGTATAAATCGAATGTTTTTTTTCAATTTAATTGTGTGACAGCGAGAGCAAAAAACTAGCAGAACTGACTTTTCTTTTGCTCTTACGGGCTGTAATGGATTTTGCTTGACCAGTATATTTCATGTTAGTAAAGCTATTGATGTGAACTTTTTTTGTAAAGTGCTGTTGATTTTACTTTGTAACTACATAATTTTACTGCTTCAAACGTTGTCATGTCTGTTTCTGCACCCCATATTTTTAAAAAACAGCCCTTCTACAATGATTATGCCATATCATATACTAGCTTCTACTAGTGAAACCATTAGTTTAGACATCCTACTCAAATTTACCACAACAATTTGAGCATATTTGGATGATAATTACTTGAGTTAGTAAAAAAAACTTCATAACGTACATATACGTTTATCTATATATTTCCCATGTGACCAACTCAGAACACCCGCATACTAAGGAGTTTTGTACTGAAAATACACTATTGGTCCTAACAAAATTATAAGATACTCTCATACATTGTTCGTGCCTAAAAAACCATTTTCTGTCCTAACAAAAAAATTTTAATGATCTCCAATATTGACAATTTTACTATTCTCTAAACTCTGGTACTATTTATTTACTAATAACTTTAGCTTTCGTGTAACTACATATACATAAAGCATACAATACGTATCAGCAACTTTACTGCTTGTTAAAAAACATACTGCAATGAGATTCTTAATCATATGAATACAAAATTCCAAATAAAATGTTAATTGTGTTAGTACTATAAGCAAATTAGTGCAAAAGTGCAACATTAAAAATTTTTGTAATAAATATTATTACCTTCCTGAGTATCCATTTCTTCTATTTCATGAACATGTACAGTTGTTAAAGTTAAATGCTGAATATTATCTTTATCACCTATTTGATTCATTACACTAAGAAATATCCTCACTGTATCAAACTTTAAGATTTAATACTTGGTCAATGTTAAGTCTTCTGCCTTGTAAAGCTTTGGTACAGTAGATGCTGATTATTACGCATACATGATACCTATAATGCCCATGTTGCTTAAAATTTATGTGTCATTCAAAACACAACTTTAAATTTTTTGTGGCATGAAAAATTTTGTGTTTAACAATGCAGCCTGCAAAAATTAGTTTTTTCAATGATTATTATAATTCTAGATACTAATATGCATCAGCAATTGAACAATGTAAATATTTAAAAAATTTTTGTACCCAACCTACGTAAATACATGGATGTTATACAATACAGACAACACCTAGAGTGATGAGTAGATAGTATCATTATTATTTACGTAGATATTATAAGCCCTGCATCCACGTAAAAAGGAGATATAGCTCTACTTACATCCACGTATTTAAGTGGATTTGGTGCAAAAAGAATCAGGGGATTTTTATACTCAAATATTTCCACCCACTGCAAGTATTTATAATGAAACGATTTACCGTCTTGTATCTTTGTGTGTACTAATATAATAATGCAAAATTTAATAGTGTAAATATCCTTTATACAAAATATGAACCAGATAATATCATAGTATTGAAAAAGGAGCTTCACGAGCTTAAGGATGATAAATTTAGTTTCTTAAATTTCTCTCATAACTGTATCAATCAAACCTGATCAAAACGTAAATGATAATTACTTGTACAGGCAGTATTGATGAAAACACAATTTATTCATGATTGTTTTGTAAGTTTTTAATTGTACTTTAAAGCAAAACAAACATAAACTGATATAAGTACTTTCAACACAAGTCGACGGTCCCTAAGAAGAGTAGCACTATTCAAAATTTCTATCTCGAATTAACAAAGGGAAACATGAACAGTGCTACTCTTCTTAGGGTCCATCGATATGTGATGCTGGTCTTATATATTTCAGAGAAAGAGCACTAATGTACTCAGAACTAACAGTAGATGATCAAGTAAAATTTCTTCTATCCTACAGAAAATGTTGGTTTTCCAAAGGGGAGGTAAAATAAAAATATCATAAGAAAAGAGATTAGCATCGATTTAATCTATGATTATATAAAACGACTAAGTTATCTAACTGAATACAAANTAAAGCAAAACAAACATAAACTGATATAAGTACTTTCAACACAAGATTTTAAAAATATACTTATAAAATAAATATAAAAACTAAAAGAACAAGTTGAAACTTTAATGCTATAGTAAAATAGTACTTTACAAAATTGAGGGCATTGTAATTAGTTGACAAATTAGATGCCAAAATGATGTAAAATTAGTTCATCAGAACTGAAAAACTTAGCAATCAAAAGTTGAAATCGTTCTTAAGTCAGCAACACAAATAACAATACAAGAAACAGGCACCGGCAAAGCCTGGTCTATTCTGAGGGTATTCCAAAAAACAGGGCGCACGGAGCACGGGCGGCCCGGGCACACACTTTTGGAGCGTTCCAAAAACTAAAATTGCGTGCGCCTGAACGAGAGGATACACATTGTGAAGAGAGCTTTATGAAACCAATATGCATATATGTAAAAATTGCATATGTGTTAGGTGTTGTACATACATAGGTTATTAAAATTTTTTTTTTTCATATTATAGTGCTCTACGTCCAGCTCCTTTGATAAGGGCACTACTATGGGCACTTAGCACTTGGGAGAAGGAAAGGATGAGGGATGGGATGCCTCCCATTACAGGAGGGGGAAACGAGGAATTAGGCAATTTTGCTGCGAGGAGGTCGCCTAAGCCCTCCTCGAGGAGCATTGCGTGGTGAAAAAGCACATGTGAAAAATCACAGAGGTACTTGCCCGAAAAAGTCGCACAGGGCGGGAATCAAATCACGGTATCCAGCGTGCCAATCCACGACCTAGGGTGTTTTCCGCAATCGTCACCAGCAAGTGATAGTGGGTTGCGCTCTACGTTACCATCAAGTCGGTAAGTCAACTACCTTGAATTAACTGGCACTATGTTCCGTAATCTGGCCAGTTAAAATAGCAGACGACAGTCAACAGCGATGAAATCTTCACTTTTTTTTCTAGACTTTCACGTCGTCTGCTGTTTTAACTGGCCAGATTACGGAATATATAGCGCCAGTTTAATTCAAGGTAGAGTTGACTTGTAAGATGTACGTGAAGTTATGTGTAGTAATTAATTAAAGTAATTACTACTAAGTAATGCCATATGGTCGATTTTATTAAACCATATGAATATCTATATTTTTGGAGGTAGACTTTTGGGTAGGAAATATATTGTAAACTTGTCGCAAATAGCATTAACTACGTTAACTTTTTATTACTTATTTATAAGATTAGTTGCGGCTGGTTTACAACTTATGATGAAGCTACAGAATAAGATAATATTGACTTACCGACCTGATGGTAACGTAGAGCGCAACCCACTATCACTTGCTGGTGACGATTGCGGAAAACACCCCTAGCTGACTGAGCCACCGCGCGCCCAGGTTATTTAAATTAAAGTTTTTTGTTTATAAAGGATCCTTCACATTAATACCTGAAAAGAAAAATGTGGCGTCTCACATCTCTCGCGCTTCAGGCTCTACTCGCCAGGTGGGGGAAGCCCCTAATTGTTAACGCCCGTCAAGCGGCGAAATTCCCGCACAATTAACATATGAGCGCGATCGAGTCGATCTGAGCCCACACCTCTCCTGTGTCTAAGGCAGGGAGCACGTCATCAGCCTTACTGATGAGTCCTGGCGTGCTCTCGGGACGAAACACCTTTTTCTCTCTCTAGTAGATGACAACGATCGCTACAGTGGTGACCCCGACAACGAACAAGCAAAACGCAACCTTCTGATACTCTCACGCATCTCCGCATCCTCCACGCCGGGTACACGCTAACGCAGCTAATCCCACACACTTCGCTCAACGACGCACATATTTCCGCACATCGCACAACTCGTGCACGCACCGGCGACACGCCCCGCATCTCTCGCAACGGAGCGTGGAAGACCCGGAGATCCAACGAGACTTCTCAACATCTTTCTCCCTCTCATGCCTTCACACCCTCGACACTCATATCGTCACTTCCTCCCGTCGTGACTGGGCGGGGAGTGATGTGGCGTCTCACATCTCTCGTGCTTCAGACTCTACTCGCCAGGTGGCCAAGCCCCTAATAGTTCGCTCCCGTTAAGCGGTGAAATTCCCGCACGATTAGTATATAAGCGCGATCGAGTCAATCTGAGCCCACACCTCTCCTGTGTCTAAGGTAGGGAGCACGTCATCAGCCTTACTGATGAGTCCTGGCGTGCTCTCGGGACGAAACACCTTTTTCTCTCTCAAGTAGTTGACTACACTTCCTACAAATATATTCCGTTTACCTTATTTCTATGGCCCCTGTAGGTGGCGTTACCAGGTGCGTGTCTGGGGGGGGGGGGTTCAGGAGACCTAAAGGTACGGTTACCATATACTGACCATGCTCGGCCCTGAAGGTACATCTTCAACTTAAAGGTTATAGCTTCTGCTCCGATTACTCCAAATTATCGTTCTATACACATAAGTACTTTTTAAAAAATTAATAAACGTATGCTATCGATAAAAAGTTCGAATCTTGTTTGTACTGTAAGAAAGTTTAAATGCGATGTATAAAAAATCGAAAAGCCAAAGAACTCGACAATAACAAAAAAATTCCGAAAACCATCAATGTGAGTGATGCAGTACAATTTCAGAATGTTATTGAAAATGAAAAAAGTATTGAAGTGGATAGTTTTTCTGATGAAATACACGTACTTTAATCATAAAAATTATGATTTATTCGTTGATGAATCAGAGTTGTGTAAAAGTGTTAGGATGAACGGGAAATGTTTGCTGACAAATATTGCTTTGCTCCTGCTGATGATAGTGATGATGATAATAATAGTGATGATGATAGTGGTAATAATGATAATGATAATCAAAAATATTACAGCAGCTGTGCCAGTATAAATATGTTAATGAAGATAGTGATGGGAAAAAATCCGAACAATCATTTATTGCAAAGGTCCTGATTAACTATGCAAGGATGTGCAAGCCAGCTAATGTATACATTTATTTTTTATTGAAGGAGTCGAAAAAGTATGATTCTACTTTACCCATGTCACACAAAACATGATAATAATTTTCAACTTGGATATATATTACGAAATAAAAATATTTTATTTACCTTACACTGTTTTTGCATGGTTTTATTTTCATTAGCTACGCTATTTTCATGTCACCGACGTTTGTTAAATTTATTATTTATTTAATTTATACTTGGTACCTTACGGGCACTCCACGGTCTATTCCTGGCAACCGAAACCTAAGGAAGCCTGAACCTGTCCGGAAACGCACCTGGTAACAGTTAGTAAACTGCCCGGAAAGACTGCTGGAAGAGGTCCGGAGACCAAGCTTTAGGCACCGGAGCTGGGGTCTGATCGGGGCATTCGATATCTCGCAAAAGTAAGCATTTTTGTCGATTATCGGCGATAATTCCTAAACTACGCATGCGCATTATCGTTATTTTTGGTTATTTTATAGGGATTATCGAAAATAATGCTTACTTTTGCGAGATATCAAATGCCCCGATCAGACCCCTGGTCCTAGCCTGCTACCTGCCGGAATGTGTATTTCTATTCTGGTAATATCAGACTCATCACACAAGTCACCTAAAATCTACTCAGTCAATAACAAATCTGCACTTTAGACGCACGCCTGCGGTTTTTAGCTTTTGGAACGCTCCAAAAGCATCAATCCAGGCGCACGCGCGCCCTGCCTTTTGGAATACTCTCTATAAGTGATCCCAATCACCGCCACGTGCCAGTAAATTATATTTGTGAGACGTGACAATAAGTCAGCGTTGGGTTAGGCAAATTTATGTCGGAACTTTTTCCCCAGATCGTATATATAGCTATACGATCGAGGGAGAATGTTCCGTCGAGCAGACAGCACAGCAGTGAAGGGGCATTGCCAAAGACACGCGGAAATTCAAAATTGTAATATTAATAACACAAGTGCCTATCACCAAATGACCCGGGGCGCTAACTGGCAACTCTTTTAAATAAATAATTATTAAAATAACACAAGCGCNTAATATTAATAACACAAGTGCCTATCACCAAATGACCCGGGGCGCTAACTGGCAACTCTTTTAAATAAATAATTATTAAAATAACACAAGCGCTAATCACCTCATGACCCGGGGCGCTTACTGACAACTCTGTTAAATAAATAATTATTAATGAATAACACATCACATCATAAGTGAATACGCAATTGGGTCCGAGCCTGAGAGGCATTTCCCGAGCACACTCACTGACACGCGCACATAAAACTTGAGGATTACCATCGCCATGCCTCTGCGTGCGTGTGCTCGACTCTGCGACTTCGTCGCAGGTTATAAAGTATAATTACAAGTGGTCACGGTGACGCAACGGTAGAGTTACCGTTCCATTGATCTCCGAGGTTAAGCTACATATGGCGCGGTTAGTACTTGGATGGGTGATCGTCTAGCAACCATTCAAGTCTCACCCTTTCGCCTGTGCTCTTGATTCTCGAAGGTCAATTAACTGTTTCTCTGACGCTTCGTCTACTTGATCATATAGGTGTGACTGAGTTGGTCCAGATGTTTATATACGTATGTTAACATCTGGTCATAACTCAGGTGCACCGATGGCTAATTAACGCTATGCTTGTGTAAAAGAATGCCTTGTCTGAGCCTACGGGTGATGATGAATAAAAAAAAAAAAAGTACATTTACAAGGTCAGTGGCCTAAAAGCGTAAATAAAACCACTAAAAGCTCACTAGCTCT